AAATCACACAATAATTTTCCTGGCTTGGCCTAGCTATTCAGGAAGAGGCTGGAAAAGAGAAAGGCTCAGTTTCCTTGTCTATAAAATAAGGGGATTGGACTAGATGAGCTCTAAAGTCCCTTCTAGCTCTAAATCTACGATCATTTTATCAACTGTAAAGGTGGGTACAAATTATTTTTTCAGTCCCCAAAAGATATGTGGCTTGTTGCCTCAGTGGGAGGCATGCTGCCTGGGGAGGGGAAAAGATGAATGAGACCAACTTACACTAATGTACCCAGCAATGGGGAACTGGGACTTTTGGCAGAGTATTGAAAATAGAAATGCTTCCAGAATGATTTGAGGCATCACTTTGTGTGGTGCACAGGGCTGCTAACATTCAAGCAAAGGGGTAGAAAATCTTAAATGGCTCAGAGGCATCAAAACCCTATGCTTGCCAAAAAGCATGTGAATGCTTCAAATTATTCCAAGGCACCATAGAATTGGCTATTTCATTTTGAAAGAGCTGAGACAGATAATTATTGCACTCCCAGCATAATCTCTGCATAGTCTGACTCCTGGAGAGATAGGACCATCTCCAGGGTAGAGGGAAAGAATATACAAGGAGACTCAATGAGAGGGAGAGAGATAGGGAGAGGAAGAAGGAGAGAGACAGAGAAAGGGAGACAGAGAGACTCAGAGAGGAGGAAGTGGGGGTGGTGAGAGAAGGACAGAGAGAGAGAGACAGAGAGAGAGAGACAGAGAGACAGACAGACAGACAGAGAGACAGAGACAGAGAGCCAAAGAGAGACCAGGCCTTAATCAAAGGAGTAAGCCTTTGAAATAAGGAGTTACATACTGAGCAAATTATGCTATTAAGACTGTTGTAAATTATTATGTTGGTGCAACAAGCATCGTCTAGGGCCACTCTCCCAACTGGGCACTCACAGTCCTGTGTCCTTGGGATCCCTGGAGGACAGCTGACTCATCTCTTCAAGATCCTAGTATAACCCTAAGGAGCTGAGGTTTCTAGTATTATAGTTCCTGAGCCCTGACTGGTATACTCTCCATTAATAAGCATGTCATCCAAAATTGATTAGCTTTTAGCAAAGGTATTTATGGAGAAGGTATAGCAAAAATAGTTGGTACAGGGAGCTGGAACCAGAGAATGAGGATGTGGCTTCTCAGTTGTTCATCTTCAAGACGGTGGTTAGTGCTTGATCATGTGGTGCTAGTAGGGGTAGGGAGTGAGAGTGGGCCTGAGGGAAAGACTGGTTGAGCCATAGGCTTGTGGACATGGTGGCTGCTGTCCTTCTGAAGGGGTTCTCAGGGCATGATGAAGAGGAGAATGAAAAAGAAGAGGAGCGATTGGCCCTTGTGGATTTGTCAGGAATTATAGATTCAGAGTCTTTTTTTAAACAAGATGTGGAAATGGATGCAAGATTTTTGGAAATTGACCTATTTTTCAAGTGGACAGCTATGTCTTTACTGAGGAATATGAAGATACTCTTGGGCTCTGTGTTGTGTTTGAAGAAATAGAGATCAGGTCAATGCAGAAGGTAACTATAAAACAGAGCTCAATTATAAGTGCCATACAATGAAGAAGGTGAGTATGATGAAAGCACTTCTGATTGAGGAGAGAGAAAAAAACAGGTGGTGTGGAATGGATGCAGATCAAGGACAACGATTTTTCATATAGACCCAACATGATTTGTAGCTCTGCACATCAGAAGGAAGATGAGGATGTTACAGCTCAAATCCCAGACAAAACTTCAGAAATGGAAGAGCAAGAGATGCAAACCAAAAAGAATAAAGGCATGGACAATGAACTGGAAAAACCAGACCACTTGGAAATGGAGGATGGTGGTTCTACTCTTGATACCTCTTCTTCTGATTTTTTTTTTATTTTTGGGGAGGCAACTGGGGTTAAGTGACTTGCCCAGGGTCACACAGCTAGTTAAGTGTTAAGTGTCTGAGTGCAAATTTGAATTCAGGACCTCCAGACTCCAGGGCTGATGCTCCATTCACTGCACCACCTATCTACCCCCGATACCCTTTCTTCTGAAACAAAAGATTCTACTGCTATGGAAACTCTGGAGTCTACCTTAGAAGCCACTCCTAGGTGACATCATTCTTGTACATTCTAGGCAGAGGCACAAATAGAGTTCTGATTCTGGAGAATTGCAGGTACAGCTTTCATTTCTTAATGGATTCCATGACTATTGGCTATACACATAGTTTAGCTGTAAACTAAAAACCAGATTTTTTTAAAAAATGGGGTATTGTCATTGTTTGTTTATTTTTAGGATTCCTCTCTTTCAGATTCTCTAAATTAGAAGTTTTGGCTGAAGTGAGTATTGTGTATAGGTAGAGGCACTATTTTTGGAAGGCTTAGTGGACTTCTGGGAGCTTGAGTAGAGGGATCCTGACATAGCTACATAGCTACAAATTCAAAACTTTCTTTCTGGTCCTGCCAATTAATCAACGCACTTTGTTCTGTGCCAATGATTATATTGACCATGCAATCCCTATCCTTTACCTCTTTCCACCTCCCCAACTTAATTTTATAGAGTTGTGAGGGGTCCTCAGAGGTTAAGTGATTTACCCAGGAGTCATCCAGCTGGTATGCCAGGCAGGTACCTAGGATTTTGTGACTCTCAAGGCTTTCTCCTCTGTACCATGATTCTACTCTATCTTGGAATAATTGGCAGAAATTTAATTTTCAGAATTATTACAGATTTCTGATTCTATAACATTGGGTACATATACCCTATTTCTACAGTGAGAGGAACTATAGAGGATCATTTTATAAGGTTGTACAACAAACCATTCCAGAAAAATGAAGGTCAGATAAATGAGGTGGTAATGTAGTCTATTTAAGTGAAAATGGAGTAATAAATATGGTGGGGAACCCAGATGCATTTTAGCTTCTCAATTATTTATAATAATGTTTGGTGTATGGTAAAACAAAGTCTTAATTTTCAGGGGGAAAAAAGGACAGGTGGCATAAAACATTTTCCTGAAACCAGGTATATATTCTCCCCTTATAGACATAAGGTCCCTGGGGAGAGTGGGCTGCAAGTCATCGTACAATGGTAGTGAAGCAATAGTATTGGAGAACACCTGGGGTCAAGAAGTACCTCTCACTTGGCCCTGGAAGATCTTTTCTCCTTTTGTGGAGTTTTAATGAACTTCCCCTCAGGTGTAGCTCTCCAATGGGCTCCAAGGATCAATCCTTTCTAGAATCCATAGCTGGCACTTCTCTCTCTCTCTCTCTCTCTCTCTCTCTCTCTCTCTCTCTCTCTCTCTCTCTCTCTTTGTGAGGCAATTGGGATTAAGTGAGTTGCCCAGGGGCACACAGCTAGTGAGTGTTATGTGTCGGAGGCTGGATTTGAACTCAGGTCATCCTGACTCCAGGGCTGGTGCTCTATCCATTGTGCCACCTAGCTGCCCCATGGCTTGCATCTCTTGCTTTTCCATTTCCACTGCCAAGGGTCAATTTCATTCTGGTGGCTCCTGCCACTGGTAACTGGTGAGACCATTGACAGGACTTCTGGATGTCCTAAACTTACAAAGTTGTTGCCTGGACATGACCACGACTTCAGAATACCTATTTACATAAGGCTAGGAAAGAGCAAACATTAAAGACAAAAGTGGTCTTATACTCACAGCCATCATAGCTAGGTGGGAGATAGGATGGATGCCTTCCCTCCACCTGGCTCTTGAAAGCATTCAGCTCAAAGTAGTCCTGATTCTTGGAAGCCACCAAAAAAGAGAACAAGAATGAGTGGGTTGCCCATTTTGCATTCATATTCAGTTCTGGCTCAGAAGCCAATTAGAAGACTTTCCACCATCACACAGTACTAGCCCCCTCAGTCATTCATGGTTGGAAGTAGGCTCAGCCCAAGCTTATACATGATTATACCAAAACCGAGCAGGAAATATCTGTGCATGCTTCATGTACTGACTTTCATAGGCCAATCCATCCATCCTACATTTATCGATCATGAGCAACACACTTCTTACTGGGAAGTAAATTAAGACTTTCTTTGATAGTTTACCTTTCAGTAGGACAATCCTAATAAATTGACATCATGAATAGTAAATATGAAGTGACATATAGAATTCTGAATGGCCTCATTCCTTCCCACCTCTTTCATATTCTTTACTTTCTCTTTCCTTTTTACCCATAAAAGACTTTTCCTTGTCCCCCCCCCTTAATAATGTCATGCATTATTTTTCCCTCAATACCTTCTCCTGTAAACTGGAACAGAGAAAATATCCTGATTTTTTTCTACTACTTTGTTAATAGAAAGACAACTAAAGGGAAGTAAATTGTACAAATGAGTCCTCACTCAGCATGATTGTTTTCAAACATTTATCTTTAGTTATAACTATTTTAACATTAAACAATTAGTAATGTTTGAATAGTATTTTCTTTCATTATTTGTCTGAATCCACCCAGAGACAGGCTTGGGAATTATGTTCAGTTTAATAAAGAAAACACACAACTGATTAATCTTTGTAATGTTAAAATAATAAACAGCCCAGAGGAGACTATTTTAAACCAACACCTGAGATCAGGTGGGGGTGAATTGAGTTCTAAATGCTAATGGCCAAATTACAGAATAATCTATACAAAAGTGCATTCAATCATAGATTCCCAAAGGACAAGAAGACAGAAGAAAGATGAAAAAAAAGTCCAAATATAAACCCAGCTGTCATGCTGTTAACATAATTGTAGGTATTGACTTAAGACAAATGCTATTTTCCAATAACATTTCCCTCTTATTAATTTTGTAGCCATAATCATTTGTTCAGGAATGATTAAAATTGCTTAAATTTTTTTTTAAATTTAGGGAATAGGAACCTTTAAAAATGCTTTTTAAAACTGTACAATAGAATGTCACTGGGTTAGTCTAGGAGAATATAATTGATGTGAACATAATTTAAGTTTTGTTTAAGCAGTAAAGCTATAAAATACATTATTTAGAACACATCTAAAAATTATCACCCTTCATTTACATTAAAAGCTTCTATTTTGTAGGCTATAAAAATGAAATCACTCTGCACCCCAGGCATTTTCTTTAAATAGGGAATTAATATACTACACATTAAAAAAAAGTTTCTAGATAGTAGTCCTTGAATATATGTTGAATGCCAATGATGTAGAGAATATACACATGATAGGTTTCCTGTAGATGAATAGTTTAGATCAGTGGTTCCCAATAGTTTTTTAGAATGGCAACACACTATCACTGATTGATTTTACAATATTGTCCACCAACTTGAAAAGTGGTTTGACATAATTTTTTAAAAATTAATTTGAAAATAATTTTATCACTTTTTTTATTTCTAGATTGCCTACATTTCCCAATGTACTCCTCCCCCTCCATAGTCTCCTAGAGAGTCATCTCTCTCATACAAAGAATAAAAAAGAAAAAAAAAACTAGTTCAGCAAAACTAACCAAAATATTTTAAAAGTCTGACAAATGCTGTGTTCCACATCTATCATCCTCTACCTCTTCAAAGGAACATGGAAGAACACTTAATATCTCTTCTTTGGAGCCAACCTTGATTGTAAACTTTCACAGAATTCAAGGCTCCTCCCCTTCCCTCTTTCCTGGGAGGAGCTGGGTCAATGACCCACCACATTCGCTTCTAGATATGGCATAGCCACTGAATGAGTGGTTCTCTTATTGTAGGTCAAAGTGTCTTGCCTACTACAGTGATTCAGTGCTGGGCTGGATCCTTGACAATGCTTGACCATCAGCAGACTTTGATGCATCGTGAAGTTGTTGGATGTCAGTGGGCTGGTTCTTCCAACCTTTCAAAGCTGATAAGGTCATAGCTATCTCTAATACACCTTTGTAAGAAAGAGCAAGAAAGAATAAACATAAAGAGGCAAAGAACAGAGAATCCTTGTATTCATACCTACATGTGGATTCGGGTGGGGAGAAAAGGCTGCTGATGCTGACTCTACTTCTCCCCCAATCTGGAAGCTGCTTCCTCACGCAAACAGCCTTCAGTCTGGACTATTCTGTTACTGTTGTTGTTTCCATCCACACAAAGTCATTATATTTGTATAATATCATATATAATGCATATATATATATACATATTTACATGCATATCATTTTACTAATTCTGCTTCATTTTGCAACAGTTCATATATATTTTGTTACACAAATCTGAATTTTTCACATCTATTATTTCTTTGTTGTTTTTTTTTTCTGTTGTTGTTCATTCATTTTTCAATCACATCCCAACTCTTTGTGAGTATATTTGGAGTTTTTTTGGCAAAGATACTGGAATGATTTGCCATTTCCTTCTCCATTCTGAGAAACTGAGGCAAACAGAGTTAAGTGACTTGCCCAGGGTCACACAGTAGGTGTCTGAGGCCAGATTTGAACTCACAAAGATAGTCTTCCTGACTTCAGGTCTGGCGCTCCATCATCTGAGCCACTTAGCTGTCCTCATTATTTTTTTACAACATAGTAATATTCTATTACATTCGTTTAGCCATTCCCCATTACCCCAATTTGTTTAGCTAATCCTCAATTGATGTGCATCTATTTTTCTGATTCTTTGGTACCACAAGAAAGAAAGAAAGAAAGAAAGAAAGAAAGAAAGAAAGAAAGAAAG